AAGGAAAAAAACAAGTTACTTGCTTTCCCCCCCTCCCCTAACTTTGTATGTATTGAGCTGTGTAATAACTTGCACATATCTGGAAGCAATGCAGAGCACAGCAATCAGTAATACAAGCTACGATAATCAGGTGTTTCAGCCATCTGACATGAGCAGTCTCCAAAGATAACTCTCTCCCGCAGGACATCGCCAAGCATAACTTTAGTTTATTCCTAGTTAAAAAGTAAATGCTCACCTGCTGTGCAGGGACAAACCTTGCCAACATTTTTTCTCCTGAAAACTGAAAAAGGATGGAGGTACAGGAAAAAGCATGGGGAAACACCCACCCACCAGTGCTGGTGGTGGCCAGCAGACAGCTGGAGCTCTTTGTGTTCCCCATCACCAATGTCCCTAAAATCCTTAGAAAGACCGCAATAAATAGCAAATTTGACTTCCATGCTCAGAAATGTCAGGAGAACAGAGGAAGCGCAGAGGAGCATAAGGCTGAATTTATTGTTTGTGAAGAACAAAGCATCCTGGCACGAAGGGCCACAGCAAATAAGTGTTATCACTACCTCAGTTCTTACCTAGGTTAAGCTGTAGCAGGAGCCCAGCCTGATCTAGTAAAACTGCCCATGGATGGCAGACACCACTGAAAATTACCCTTGTTCCTATGTGTGAGCAATCCACATTGCTGTGGCTAATACCACTTCCAGGTATTTACCACAGCAATTACATGTCTCTGGTTAGCTTGGCTGTCTCTTCTTCTGTTAACTGAATCTCCCTGTGAACAGCCATACAATTTAAAAAAACAAACAAACAAAAACGAACAAACAAAAAAAACCAAACAAAAAACCCCACAACTGTTAAAAAGGAAAACAAAAAAAAGCAAGGCTTTACCCACATATATAGGCACAGTGCTAACCACGAAGCAGAGAGGAGCCTTGGTGATTGCATAGTAGCAAAGCTGGGCTCTTCCCCTAACGCTAACACCATCATATTTGTAATTGGTTGTTAAACTGAGTTGCTAATAATAATAATAATTAAAAAAAATCCTTTCTCATTCAGCATCACCAAAATGACATTTATGTTATTCAGGATTTTACCATCACTCTCCCCTTTCAACACAGAACAGTCAGCAACAGCACATAAATTTTTATGCCTGCACATTACACAGCATTGTATAAAAAGAGAGGTGGTGTAGATGATAAAATTGATGTGAAAGTTTTCACCATGCCCTACCAAAAAGCTGAATAATTCAATGCAGGTGGTAATGGAGAGTTCCCGACTCTGTGCCTCCTGTCCAGCTCACCACCTGGGCACTCCCACAAAGCTGGTTTGTGCCTGCACAGTAAAGTCATTCACTCTCTGCTCAGGAGTCTACTAATAAAAAGTGGAGAAACAAAGATTGTCATATGTCAGTGTATCAAATAATCAGTAGTTCTTTTTATTTTATTTTTCTTCTTCACAAGTAATATAGTGGCAGATAAGGATATATACCAATCACAGGCATGGTGTTTAATAAAATCTCATGGTCTCTATCACTCTGGCCAGCTTTCTGCTACATTTTATAGGTCACGATCCATGAAATTTCATAGGAACTTTCATATATATTCACTGTAGCAGAGTATAACATTTATTTGTTAATAAACCATGTAATTTAGGGAGGAAGAAGATGCTTTATCCAAAACAACATGCAAGGTAGTCTTTCAATCAATGATTTCTCTCTACTGTATCTGTATTTTGGGATCCCTATATAATTCTGCAAGCTGCTTATTTTTTTTTTTTTCTAATGGGAAATAATAAATGAATATGATTTAATAATGATTGTAATATAAGAGGCCAGGATACTCATTAACTTTAAACTCAGATTGCAGCCTTTGCTTCTTTTTTGACCTGCTGACCCAGGCTGTCACTACAAAAAGCTATCATCTTTAATCATGAGAAACATGAGCAGCAGAGAGTTAATCACGGTAAGAGTCAGTGCGGAGCGCTGGATCCCCATGCCAAACACCAAGGAAGTAAAAAGATAGTGTCTGGTGGATACAGTTTTTGTCAGTTTTGGCAGCCACAGGAGGAGAGAAAGGTGAGTGGGGATCAGATGTTGAGAAGGATCAAAGGTTGAGGAGAATAACATGGGAAAGTGCCTCTTTTTCTCCAACCCAGTGGTTTTGTAACAGAATATGCCTGCTTATATGATATAAATCAAATATTTTCTTGATGTTTTGGTTGTAGTGAATTGTTCCATAGATCTGATACCTCCTTTGGGATGTATAGGACCTGCTAGCTGTAAGCTTTATGTCCCATATGTGTGTTTTTTCGTGTATAAAAATCCTGTGGGGGACATTTGGGAGATGGAGGGTGAAGGAGAGGAAGGAAGAGAAACACACAAGACCACAGCAGAGTGGAATGCTGGATCTGTATCGTTACTCGGGAAGGAACGTAGTTACTAGTCACCAAAATTTCTGGTTTGCCACAGCTTCAGTGGTGACTTGACAAGTCCCTTTATCCATTGGTCCATGTTACTGGTAAGGTGTTGGCCCACTTCATCTCAGGATTGAGCCCTGGAAGTGGTCAGGATTGTGTATCAACAGAGGTGGTCATTCTTGCAGCTATATGTGGCATATACCAGCTCACATGCCCTGCAACTTTTCTTAATTAAACCAAAGAAGAGCCAGCAATGTGAAAGCCCTCAGGGCTTGTAACCTTACTGAAATATCTATTTTGGGAAAAAAAATTGTATAGTTTTTTTAGCAGCACAAAACATGTGAGGGTCTGCAGATAGCTGTAATAATTCCAGCTCACTCAAATCACAAAGCATGCCACTATCAAAATTTAATCTGGGCTCTTTGGAGCATAATCATATTTCACTCATTTTCCTTCATCCTTTTGCTTGAAATAAATGAACCCCTTCTGTGCCACCACCAACCCAGAATTCATAAGCCAGTATTTTACACCCGGGACAAGGAATGTAGCAAGTGGCACTTTATGACCCATCTCTCATTCCCCTCCCTTCGACAATCAATAGCATTTTCAGCATATGTCTCTATTTAAAGTTTACTTAGAACTTTCACGTCAATGTAAGATGACAGCAGTCATTTTATTGCCCAGCACTCCTGAGCCTGCCTTTTTCCATAAGACACCATGCTCTGGCAAAAATGATCTTTACTTGGCAGGGTTCTTCCTGGGAGTGATATTTCTTGGAACAGGAGAACCTCTGGCAAGTGACCAGTGTCACCGCTGTGCTATGTCTTTGATTTTTATCCCTCCAAATCTGTGCCTTTTGGCAATAGTTGACTCAAATCTGTTTTGGTTAGCTATCCACCTTTAGTGATGGTGATTCCTCTTGTGGTGCTGGAGGTGCACATGCAAGGGGAGGAAGAGAAAGTAGACAGATGTGTTTTATTTTTTGCAGCTGGATTAGAAAACATACACTATGGTTTTCCTGGATTTTCATGGTCTTCTTTTGATCTTCTTAGGGCTTCTACCCAAGTACATACCACTTCTCTATCAAATCCCTGAAACAACTGTGAGTTAGGTGCTGAGGTGGCTCTTTTGATTTGGACTTTGGTGTTTAAGGACATGCCTAGCAGCAATTGAGAAGAATGTTTCTTAAACACACACACGCACACGTTTCTAAGCAATTATAGCCTAAATGAACCTAAATCACTCATCTTAGCAAAAGTTATGACTTTCACAAGTTAAAGGTGAAATATAGTTTGGTCCAATTCTGCTCTGTGACAATGTATCCGTATACCTGTCTTATTGTATAAAAACCATAAGAAAAACTTGTATAAAATTTTGACATATATTTTATTTGCTATTATGGTTTGTCACATGTTTTATTACATCTTGGACACACATAACTAAACAATTTCTGAAGAAAATGGACTATTTGCAGTCATTTGCTGGAGGCCTGCAGCCAACGTTTCACGTCATTTGTCAAGGTTTTTGCCATGGAAGCACAGGGAGCGATGGGAACTGTGGGAGCCTGGTGCAGGGCTGGGGAGAGGGTGAGGACTGATAGCTGCAACTATGAAATCCAGATGAGGAGAGGACAGAAATGCATGTTACATCAGTCAGTTAATGCCTGGCCAATGGACTTTGCAATGGTTGTTTGAAGGGCAGGAGAATGACTTGGGAAAACCCAAACATTTGGATATAGAGGTTTGAATTGCTGGGATGTGCTTGGGCTTTGCAAAGAGCAGGGCGAGGGCTCTGATCCTGAGCAGGTCATTACAGGAGAGAAAAGTCAGTAGTTAGCCGAAGACAGCAGAGCAGTCTCTTGGAAAGATATTCCTGTTGTATAGTTGCTTCTCCCAGAGCAAATATTTGCACAAATGTGTATTCCAGTGAAGCTGTGTAGCATCTTAATAGTATCAAAAGTGCAGGAAAGACTGTGAGACTTGAAACTAATCAACAGGTTTCCACATCTTTTTGCTCTAAGGGCTGACAGCCCTCAAGAAACCCCACCAGAGTCCATATTTTGCAGAGAATTCCCCAAATAATAGGAGTCGGGTTCCCTACCACATTTTATTGCAGTACTCCTACATAGTGAAACCTTATTTTTTCGGTTCAGTGGAATTAATCGCATATTCTCTATATGGAGTTCAGTAGAATGAATCACATAGTCTTTATATGGATTTACTATGAATGAGAAGCTATATTAATGTACAGGCAGCTGGTGAATATTACAGTGAATAGTTTCCTGTTAGCACAGAGCATCGCTGCATCTCTTTGAGTAGAGATGACTAGCTTAAAAGAACATCTTTCATCTGTGTAAATGGTTTACTGGGGGGCATTGCAGATTGCTCTGAATAGAAAATTTTTTTCACGGAAACAGAGCTAAAAGGATAACACAAGTAACTGCATTCTCTAGTGCCTCCCAGTGCTTTATATGTTCTTCTCTATTGGGAAAAAAAACCCAAACAAACAAACAAACAAACAAAAACAGCTATTGGCAGCCTGGTGAATTTGGTAATTGTAACTAATGGGGTTGTTTCTTTTTGTCTGTGTTTTAGGATGGAATGGGGAACCTGAGAATCACGGAAAAGGGTCTAAAGCTTGAAGGAGATTCAGAATTCTTGAAACCTCTCTACGCCAAAGAAATCCGGTCAAGACCAGTAAGTTGTTGGGAAAGGAATAAGCACATTTCTGTAGCCCTAAGTGTAAGAAACCATGAAGTGACAGTGGCGTGGTTATCGGATAAATTACTTTGACTATTCTATACAAATGTAATTGGGGAGTGAGACTGTGGGTGTCCTTTGGGTACCTCATCCAGATGCTGTATCCTCTGGGCTGTTGCAAGGTTGATACACATGGGTTTAGTTTGTAGGTAAAACGCTTCCAGGACTTCTGAGATTTCACATGGTCTTTTAGTCTCCTTTTGAGATAAATAGTAAACAAACATCAACTGAGAGACCTAATGTTTCCAAGGCAGACAGATGGCAGGCAGTTGTGAAATCGAGCTCACGCTTAACTAGTTACTCCTTTTCTGCAGAGAGCAGAGAGGTGATGCCTCGGCACGAGGGCCTGATCTGTTGCTAGCTGGCACAATACACCCATATTATGTGCTCAGTCCTATTTCATGTTGTGTTTTAAAATTATGTGCAGTTAAAATTCAGTGCTGCTAGGAGAGACTGCTTGACAAAAGTGGCAAGGATGTTAACAACTGAAAATGAGAAAGAACCCAAGTGTGATTGAAATAGCATTTTCATAGCAGCACTTCATTGACTGTTGGTGACTTTTGCTCTTTCTAATGCAATCCTGTTTGTCCTGAGCAGCTTTAAAATAACTGAAACGATTATAGAGTTTCCAGGCTCCTTCTCAGAAGATGTCATCTGTCTTGTTTCCTGATCCAAAGTGTTAATTTGAGTCAAATACCAACATTCCATTTTTATAACATTGGCAGATAGCTAATTAAATAAAGTTAATGTCCCTTTATCTCAGCATTTCAGTGGTCTTGTAGAAATTGGAACTTGTAGCATAATCAACGCACCATCCAATACAATATCCGATTTAATTATTGAAGGTTGTAACCTCTGTAAGATGGCTAGGAATTGATCTGAACAAGCATAATCATTTAGCAAGAAAAGTTAATGAGAAAACGTTCATATTTATAAATGTTTTCATCCCCGAATTAAAACAGAACTGCAGAGAAGTGTCATGCACTTTTTAACATAAAATATGTGGAAAAGGTGCAGCACTCAGTTTGATAAATAGACTGACAAATTGCTACTTACATTTCTTTTCTCTAGTTAGATTACTGGAAGTAATATTTGATTACTAAGAGGGCTGAGAACCACTTCTTGCTAGTGGGGAGTTTACTGTTTATATATTATCATATTGATCTACATTTTAATACGGCAGGAAGGACAAAAGGTGTCCCCTTCTTGAGGTTATGAAACTAGTTTCCACACCATTGACAGTGTAATGAATGCAAAGAACAAGAAACAAAAAGTAAGGCCTTTGTGTGTGTTCCTTGCAGTATCCCGCCTCCAGCATTATTTTTACTGTTAGCCAGAGAAGGATCTAGTTGCAAGCCAGAGAGTCTGATCTACAGCCGAGTGAGCTGGAGCATCACTGCTGGCTTCAGCAGATGAGTCCTGGAAACTGTATTAACTATATAGTTACATAAACCATGTGCAGAGTTTCTCTGACTTCTCCATGGAGTAAAACTGGAATAGCCTGGGCTGAATTTCACGTTGCTCACAATAATGCTGGAATTACTGTTGGGCTTGGGGCAACAGGAGCAATCCTACTGATTTCAGTCAACTTCTGCTTTCTTGTGCTAGGTGTGAATTTGGCCTCTTGTAAGCAAATGAAAGAGCTGAAATCAATCAAAGATTCATAGTTATGGAAAATTTAAAAATGACATTAAAAATAATCAACGCTATATTTTTTTAAAGAACAGTAGTATGACCCAGTATTCTCTTGGAGAGAAGCATACTAGCAATTCCTGATCTTGATGAATATTGCTAAAATAAAGTGCCAAACTCATCACTCAGTAGTACAGATCACCATCCGTACTAATACCATAGTAATTTTCTGTGGGTTCTCAGAAGTGCATAATGCATCTTTAAATAAGCAAAGTGTAACAGAAACAGTATGACAAATAATAGTAAAGAGCATCCTAGAAATAAGCTGACATATAATGTTTTTCATATGTTTAATTAAACAAACTAAGAGTTCTGTACAGTAATAGATAATGGTTTTATATAAAGCTCAAAAGACTTTCAGATGCTGGTTATTTTTAGAAGACTTTAATTAAAAAAAAAAATAAAAATTCACTGTTTTTCTGTGTGGTAGATGAAGGGGACTTGGTGCTGCATGGAAATGGCAGGGGAAGAATGGCTTTTTGTGTAAGCAGCTGCAGTCCCGTGACCTCCGTGGAGTGGGTTTTCCCACTCGTGTGTCTCAGCAGTGCTGCTCACCACCCTGCTGTGCTGTGGGCAGAACTGGGCAATCCCTGCCAAAATATTTCCAAAACATCAATTGTGCTAGTTCTGAGAAGCCTGAATTTGTAACTGGTGCCTCTTTCCTGCATCCCATAAGTCTCAGGAAGGCAGTAATTAAAAGTACACAGACTTGCTTTCCTAAGAGCTGTGCCTTCTGGTTTAAAGATAGTTTTGTATTTCCACTTAAAAGTGGATTTCTTTTTCAAATTAATTTGGCAGGAAGGGAAGACCAAGGTTGAGAGAGGAGGAAAAGCCCTCAAATGTCATCCCAAGGGACCAGCTGTGTGGAAACCTCTGAGCTTCTGTAATTTGTGCCTTAAATAGCTGTCGTAGGTGCTGCCCTCTTTATCGCTGTTTAGCTGTGCTCCTTTTGGAAAGTAACTTGTTGCAACTGAAATTACAGCCAAGAACTGAATCTGTTGTACTGTGGCATTCAATTGATGACAACCCAAGAAAGGCATTTTCTTGGAGTCTATTAAAAAATATTTGCAGAAGGACTAAACCAAAATGGTTTGGTCCTGTGCTGGAGAAGTGGCCATTAAAATGGAGACATGAACTGACATGAACTGGCATCTTAAAGCTCATTTCAGCCAGTTTCTTTCTGCATCACCACTGTCGCAGGAATGACACCCTCCAGGCCACTTTCCTTTTCCCTCACCCATTCAAGAGTGACCCACAAATCCCTCTCCTTGCAACGAGGATCTCTGATGTTCCTGTCGTTTCCCCGTTCTAGTCCTGGCTCAGTGATATTCAGTTTCTAGTGCTTCCTAGATCAGGAGCCTATTTCTATGCATCTAAGCTTGCAAATAAACATAACCTTGTTATTGCATGAGCCTAAAGTTTATCTGGAGCTTAATGAATAGTAACTGGTGGTATCAGTGTTTGCACCCTTGTACTCTTGTTTTAAAGAAATGAGATAGATGCATTCTCTTTTTCAGGGGTGATCAGAGCATCTTAAACTCCCAGCTGAACATATTGCACACTAAATAGTATTTTCCATGCCACTTGCATGGAACATGAGCGTCTTGCTGCCTTTAATTAAGAAGTTAACTGGACCATGAAGTATTGCCTGTGTAAATAAAAGTGATTTGTACTTAGTCAAGAAGGTGCATTAGGAGTCCTCACATTTCTTTACTTGCACATAAATTATGGATATTATTAAAAATTGGAAGGGTCATCTATAAACCCATCTGTAGCTCAGATGCACTGTCACTCTTAAAACGTAGCTGTCTTTCTAACTGTTCTAATTTATTGCGGACTATCATGTGAACCATCTGCTTGCTTATAAATCAGACAAACTTTGACTGAAAGTTGCACGCAGCAGCACAAATTGTTAATTTTATGTGCTGGGAAGCAATGGCAACAGTTTTGTGGTCTTCAGACTTCATTGCCTTAATTTAAATAGAAATTTAGAACTGGAAATTTTCCTGCCTTTGTTGAGAAGAGCTACTAACAAGCAGGTCGCTTGAAACTTACAGTAAGCAGAGATTTAGCTCTCTTAATGCAGTTGGGGTGTTTTGAAGTTTACTACATCCAGGTCTCTAAGTAACTTAAAATGGGCAAGACAGAGAACAGGTTATGTGCGTATTCCATTCCAGTAGCAACAGAAATAAAATCCCATGCTGTAATTACACAGGAAAAATCAAGTTAATTATTTATCTTGAGACCTGTGTGACAACCAATGAGATTATAATCTCAGATTTAAGAAGCAGAGAAAGACTTTGCCAGGATAGGATTAGGATGCTTTTGCCCTTTCAATGTTCATTTCAAGTGCATGGATAGAAAATATAAACCTCTGTTTGCAAATGTTTACACCTGGGCTTTATTTTTCTTACTGTGAATCCTTTTAAAGACAAGAGAATGGATTTGCCTGACAAAGATTTTTTTGCAGTGTAAACCTCTTGACTGGGGTCCTGCCCGTTCAGCTCTCTTACAGACTCGCCTACTGATGGGCAGGTCTAGGAACATGGACTTAAACATGGGCACCAATTCTTCTCTGTCCTCTGCTACCAGGGGGATCTCCAAGCTGTTCTGTTGTTGTACAGGTAAAAGTGATGGTAAAATTAACTGAACAGATTTTGAGGATGTTTTAAATGTCTTTGAAAAGAGATCTTGTAGTTTATTTAGCCAGTTTCACATTGAAAGTCTGCTTCCCATTATTTTTAATCAACTGAAAAAAGAATTCAAAAGAAGAATCTAGACATCAAAGAAAAAAGCTTGAGACAAAGTATGGTGTCTTTTTTTTTATTTTCCCTCCTTTGGGTGATGTTAGAGGTCCCCATCCTGCTCCCTGTGGCAGTGAGTGTCTGTCTCACTGAGAGCAGTGCACTCACTCAGATTGTTGGAGCAAACCTGGTCTCTTTGGAAGCCATACGAAATAAGGAGTGACTACAGTGGAAGAAGGATTGGACCTGTCATTAACACTTGGCTGTGATTCTGCAAGGGCATCTGTTTGGCCTAAAAATTTCACAGTTGTGAATTAAGGTTGATAACTGCTATTCCCTTTACTGGTGTTCAGTAAGTTCTTGTCAGCATAAAAGCTAAACTAGCAAGTTCATAAAATATGCTTGTCTGTACTTTACATTTTCCCCAGTCAGTATTTGAATTATAGAAATTTTAAAGGAAGCTTTTAAGAGTGATAAATAATTATTTTGTCAATGTACTTG